ACATCGGCGAATGGGTTTTTCTTTGGGAACCCTAACCGGAGCCTTTGACTCAAGGGTCTGACCCATAAGGCAGTGGGGCGTAGATCCAACGCAGGAGCGTGAACGAAGCACCCGTGTGGGAGCTTCTAGTGACCTGTCATGCGGGGCCTTTGAATTTCGATTGATTGTGTTGTTCGCTGGTGCGTTGATTATCGGTCCGCTTTTCGGGATCAGCCCTCAGCCTCATGCACCCAATGAGACAAGCGGAACGTGAAGGGGACAGCACCTTATTGGCTGGGGGCTGGTCAGCTTGGGCGGGCGGTAGCTGTCCAATGAAGTGCGAAGACTTCTCCCATCGTCGAGAGGAAGCCCCAGGTACCCCGCTCCTACGTCCATCTAGCGGGGTTTCTTTGATCGGTAAACTGCCCCTCACCGTGTTTATTTGCTGGAGTGGCCTCTCCAGGGGCGAGTGTGGTTAGATGAAAGAAGCCAGGGGGTGCCCAAGCAGCTGGCTTGTGAGACTGGTCTTCGTCTGGCCTCCACCCATTGACCTTTCAGGCACGATTGGATCTCCGGCTGTGAGAAGCCATCCTGTTTAGCTCGCAAGGTCACTGAGGCGCGCAAGCCATCACACCACGTCAAGGTGCAGTCTCATCGCTATGGCCATTGAGGACTATATACTGTGCACACGGAACTTAGATGGTAATTTTTATGATCAACTGAACATTTCAACACTGTCCATCCTAGCATAACGTTTACTTCAAAAATGAAATGTAACAATACACTGCTGTTTCTGAATGTCTGCATCACGCATGGATCAGATAGCTTGGCACAGCGNTACCTTCATTCCCGAAGCTTTGTACCCCTGAAGGAACCTGGAACCTGGTTCGTTTCCCAGCGGTTAGGACAAATAATATCTGCAGTGAAGAAGCGCTAGAAGAAGAGCTTTGCTATAAGGTCGATCCTTGCATATAACGGGTATCCGTAACGTTGAGTTAACAAAATGATGCGCGGAGAACACTGCAAAGTTAAGAAAGAGTCCCTGTTAGTTTCTTTGCAGCTCAAGTGGGACACATCACCAAAAGTCATACAAAGGAAACTATCCGACGCAATGGATAAGACTTCGTGTGTTGTTCAAGTCCAGATGAATTTTATGTTTGTGATTGAAGAACAAAGTTCCCAACTCTGCAGTCTCATTCTGTATATACTAATTTACTTGTGGAAGAACATGTATATGCCGCAAGGTCAAGTGATTGTCTGAACGGATTCGTGGACACCACTTGGCGTGGCTGAACATCGGAACGATCAAGTCACTCACCACTGCAGTGGTTCCACACCTAGCTGAAACAAATCACACTAAACGTTGCCGAGGCTTCCCGGCCATTTTATCAAGTTCGTGGACAATTGTAGGGGCGGGTTCGCTGTCGGATGCTAGCCATAGCAGAAGCGGTGAAGCTTGTCTGCGCAACCCCGTCCGTGTGCCCGAAAACAATTTGTCCAGACGCTTAAACTTCACTGATCCACCATCCACTCTCTCTGTCTCTCACACACATACACCGCATCACGGGTAATCTGGATGTTCGAATGAGGAAACAACCAGCTATGTGATCACGGTGAATCTGATTTCCGGTTCCAGGATGAAATCGATTCTAGTAATATGTGATGTTATTTTATTTTCCCAAAACAGTTTTATTTCTAGGTGCATCAGGATTTCTTGAACATCAAACAGTCAATTTCACTGTTGCAGACAACCAGGAGTTAAAAATTACAGATCCTTGGCATAAAGTTCTGCGTAGTCTGAACCCAGTTCTGGTGCATAGGCGCATACACATACAGTTTCCCTTTGATTCGTGCAGGCGCATGTGCATCTATGCGTTGTCTGCAACGTAGCAATGAGATGCTCTGGGGACAGTTTAGGTAATGTAATCAAAGTCAAAGTTTTATTATGGGAATAGCTTAAAAGCTGGTGCTTCTCTTGTCCCGTAGGATGTTTACGCAGATGAATCGTTACACATCGAAAAGGGAGTCGCATAGAGATCCGGATAGGAGATAGAGAATGTAGGCTACAGTGAATTTCCGTTTGCCTTTAGTGTACGAATACAGCCAATCCATACTGCACCGATGTTAGGCTCTACCTATAAAGAAATCTACCCTAATGATCAGTCATATTTAACTACTGGTTATCTGTAACAGTAACACCGGGAATTCAACTTGGCCCGTTTAAGGTTCTGACTATTGTTTTATTGCACATGAGGTGATTTACAACAAAAGGGGTAAACCCCACAATCAATCACACACTGTAAGGGGGAAGGTTTGTGGGGGAACATCCAAGTAAGAATCAATTTGTTAATCCTATTTTTGAAAAGAGTAAGATTATAAGTGTTTGGAAACACGGAAATGGAAAGTGTTCCACAATTGCACACTCCTGAGAAAAAAGATTAAATGATAGAAGTCCGACATCTGGGGGCAGAAACTGGATAAGAGCCACTACCAGCCTGAGAACCGGATGGACGAGAAAAGGTCAATAGGAAGGGAACCGCTGAAGTGAGTGCGAAAGAGCAGAAATCAAAATAGTAACGACAGAAAAAAGGTAACGAAGCAACTGCCCGGCGATGGAAAAGCGACTGTAGGTTGGAATTTAAAGGTGGTTCGTCGATCAGCCCGATGGCCTTACGTTGAACATGGTTAAGGGGAGAAAGAGTGGAGTACTAAGCCCCACCCCATGCATGACCGCAGTATTCGAGCATTGGGCAGATTTGAGCTCTGTATAAAAGAAACTGCTTGAGTTGAAAGAAATGCGTTGCACGGAATAGAAGACCGACTTAGCGCGAGAGGCGAGTGTGTAGATAAAAGGGGACCAGAAGAGAAAAGAATTTATTTATAAATCCAGGAGGGAGAGAATTTGTGAAACGAAGGGGAAGATAGTCAAAAATCAATTGGGGAGAAAAAGGGACACGTTTAGGAGAGCCGGAGAGGAGAGAAGTTTTCG